GAGTCTMGGCCAAAGGCACTATTATATGACAACATATGCTGTTTATGATTATTCATAAATGGAATAAAGAAATGTTTGCAGATTCAATAAGCAAGCATATATTTGTGGTGCCAATTGCCAAATGTGCCCATCGCTTCGCACGCGCAACCTTTACCATGACAACATCCAGTATAAATTGAGGTTAGTTGAATACCATTTTGTCTAAGTGGGATAATTTTTTTTTAAAATTAATTGTGTAAAAGAATAATTTAAAATTTAAAATAACATTTATACAAGTTCTAAAATCCAATCCAAATAAGAATATAAAATATGAGAGTATTCCATTTTTTTTTATCTATATCGTATCATTATACGCTCACTCGAGTAGAATCCCATTATACAAATTTTACTTCAACTAGAACAAAATCTATCTCATGAAAAGAATAATCATATCACTAGTTGAAGCTCGAAAGTTCTTATTACTTAACTAATTTTGTTAGTATTACTATGTAGAAGCAATATTAAATAACATAAAATAAACAATTCGCACAAAAGTCAAAAACTCATCTAGAATATTAACATAATAATGTAGTGCACTATATAGCTTTTCGAATCTATAAATAAAGGTTTTGTTGCATGAGCTTGGGAAGCCAACTTAGTGAACATTACCATATACCACACTAAGTTACTAAGCTAAAACAAAACACTCTAGAAAATGTCTCTTCCATTTGCAACTCTACTGCTATTGTTGTTCTCAACATTGTCACCTTATTTCATCTCTTTTGCACACTCCAAAATTGCTCGACTTGGGATTTCCCCAAAAACGCTAAAGAATGAACCGACGCAAAAAATTGAGGATTCTGATCTTAAAATGTTATACTTTAATCAGAATCTTGACCACTTCACATATACGCCGGAAAGTTACACTACGTTTCAACAAAGATATGCCATAGATTCCAAGTATTGGGCTGGTTCCAAAGCCAACGCACCAATCTTAGCATTTCTTGGAGAGGAATCATCCTTAGATTCTGATTTGTCTGGCATCGGTTTTCTTCGTGACAACGCTCCTCGTTTCAAAGCGCTCCTAGTCTACATAGAGGTGTGTGTATAAATATATATAAGTGTGCGTTTAAATTTATCAATTATTGTGTTTGTATGTAAATGCATACATATAAAATGCAGCATAGGTATTATGGTAAGACGATGCCGTTTGGATTGGCAAATGAAGCATTGAAGAATGCGAGTACATTGGGATATTTGAACGCAGCACAAGCACTAGCAGACTATGCCGCGATTCTCTTGCACGTTAAGGAGAAGTACTCAGCCAAACACAGCCCTATCATTGTCATAGGAGGATCCTATGGTGGAAGTAAGTCCATGTTCACCATTATATATCTCATTTGTGCAAATTATGATAACTATAACTTGCTTATTTCAGATAGCTACTCTTAAACATGTTACTATATGGAATATGGTTTTGAGAGGAGTGTATTCTACCTCATGTTTTCCCATGCACTCAAATTACAATGATAAATTGATGATTTTAAATATAACATATGTATGATTAGAAATGTATTTATAATAATTTCTTTTTTCATGGTACACAAAGTGTTAGCGGCATGGTTCAGGCTGAAATATCCGCACATAGCACTTGGTGCATTAGCATCTTCAGCTCCTCTTCTCTACTTTGAAGATACTCGTCCTAAATTTGGTTATTATTATATCGTAACCAAAGTTTTTAAGGTAATAATAATTATTCAATTATTGGACCATATCAACATGCATGCGTTCTGTTTTCTCTATCAAAATTAATCCATTTCAACTATTTCGTCCTTCACTAATTTTGTTGTCACTCGGTTAATTAGTCTAAATTGCAACTTTTCTTTTTTCATATTCCTAACATGTATATTCCATAAGGAAACGAGTGAGAGATGTTATAACACGATCCGTAGATCATGGAATGAAATCGATAGAGTTGCTGCCAAACCCAACGGTCTCTTGATCCTCAGCAAAAAATTCAAAACTTGCGCGTAAGAAAGAAACATCTTAATGTTTTTTTAGAAAAAATTCCCAAGTAATATACATATATTATTTTTTAACTCTAAAAACTATTTGCCAGTCCATTGAACGGAAGCTTCAATATCAAAGACTTCTTGGATTCGATATACGCCGAAGCTGTTCAATACAATCGGGGTCCAAGTTATTGGGTGACCAACGTGTGCAACGGAATCAACTCCAACCCACCAAACCGGAAAATTGATTTACTCGACCGGATTTTCGCAGGTGTTGTCGCTTTAGTAGGCAACCGATCTTGCTATGATACCAATATGTTTACACAACCCACAAACAATAACCTCGCATGGAGATGGCAGGTATGTAATTTTCCAATAAAAACATACCAAAACTCAATATATACATAAAATATATGTTTTGTATTTGTTTCTTAATTCTTCTAATCAATATTATGAATTAAATTACATGTAAAATCTTTATATAGAGCTGCACCGAGATAGTGATGCCAGTGGGATATGACAAACAAGACACCATGTTCCCAACGGCGCCGTTTAATATGACCAGTTTCATTGCCGGTTGTGAATCTTATTATGGTGTCCCTCCTCGGCCACATTGGATCACAACGTATTTTGGTATTCAGGTGTATATAAATGTACTATTTGTTAACTCATTTAAAGTCATATAAATATATTATTTTAGTACAATTACAAACCGCCTAAACCATATTTTATAAAAACTACTTTGAACAGGATTTTTAGAATCCTTCGTATTTTTATATTTTTTGGTGTTTGGATACTAAAATAAGAGAGATCTTAAAAAATTTATACGATACGCTTTGAATTCTTATTATTTGAACCGATTCTGTTAATAGTTTGGTAAAATTAATTAGGTAGAACTTACTGTTAAATATTATATATTGCAGGATGTCAAATTAATTCTCCGAAGATTTGGGAGCAACATCATTTTCTCTAATGGACTATCAGACCCATACAGCGTAGGCGGGTAAATAAACATAATTAGTTGTT